TTTCCTAACCATTTTATTTAGTTCAATGGTTGACATTCTTTCGGCATTACAAACATCTACATAGTCCACCTCTCCATTAGCATACCAGACATACTGTTCCCACATAATTCTACCCCCATGATGCATCCGAATAGTAAACCATTCAGAATCAGTCTCTACAATAGCAATTAGGATAAAACAGTCAACAAAAAACAAACAGAGGCTGACAAATGAAATACTGAATTGGTCAGTATTCGGCAAAAAAAAAAAAAGATCCTAAACAAATAAAGTGTCCCTTTTCAGCCATTAAAATACATCACTTTCAAAATAACCTCCTTTGTCCGACATTATCAATTTACAACAAACAAAGTAGGACCACAAACTGGACCACTTAGCCTCCCAACATCACCATTACCCAAACATATACACAAATAAGTCCCATTACACATGCATATACTAAACAAATAAGTTCCAGTACACATTGCCCAAACATATAAACAAATCTTAAACCCAAAAGGGTTAGTAAACAACAATTTCAATTACCGTAAACAAGGTACAGATCAAAGTAGTCATCCTTCCTCCTTATTCGCCACTTCATTTCTGCCTTTACAACCCTTCCCACGCCGGCAATTACCACTTTTGCTGCAGCGTCCGAATTGAACACTCTAATTTAAGTCGCACTAGGGTTTTACAGCAAAGGGGGTGAAATTGTTGAAGGGAAAATGGTTGGTGAAACTGTTTTTACTCTGTCTTGGCCAAGAAACTATAGTGCCCTTCATATTTGTGCGCGCATCTCACGAGATGAAGCTTCCCGTCATAGTTAACTGCTGGATTTGACAGAAGGGCCACGAATATGCCATTTTGTTAGATCGAGGGCCAAAACCGTTTCTTTAATTGTTGGAGGGCCAAAACTTTACCTGAGTAAGAGTTAGAAGGCCATTGGAACTCTTTTCCTTAACATAAAATATATCTTTAATTGATTTTGCTAGATGAAATAAAAAACTAATCGAAAATCTAGGCAGGGACCAAATTTGATCAATGTGAATTTATAAATGACGTAAAATTACATTTTTAAAAATAAGGGACAAAAAAAGTTATTTTACAAAATATGAAGGGCGTTTTAAACTATTTTTCAAATTAAAAATTGCACAAATGAAACAAAAAAAGACTCAAGATTGAGATTTGAAATATAAAACTACAAAAAATTATGCCCATCCATAATTTATTTATTTATTTTTTCTATAAGTTGCCCGTCCATTAATTTTAAACAAAAAAAGGAAACCAAAACTTTATCTAGTCGCCAACCCCATTTGTCAACTTGAAATTGGATTTTATCTTTTAAACTGACTTCATCCCCAAGCCATGAGAATTGTAATCACCAAAACTCTATACCTATACTTTGCTTACTATTCAGCCCTAAAAACAAACCAACGTTTAAAGTTAAAATTCCACGACAAACAATTAACAATAAAATAGAAAAAGTCGGAGAGAGACAGAAAGGGTTTAAGAGAAATAGAGGGTTTAAGAAGGAAACTGCCATGGGAGGCAATTTGTCTACGACTTCATCCGAAAACCCTAGTTCCCCCACCACCTCCGCTACCACCGCCACAAAAACAGCCTCCGCCGCCATGCCACCCTCAGTTTCCCCACCAACCCACAATTCTAAGCCCCAGTCGGAGGCAACCCATGATCATACACCGCGTGAAGCCAATACCGCAGTGGAAGAATCATCGGACCCACCGTCAGAAAAGCAGCAAGAAAATCAGTCAGAGGACTTGGAACTCAAAAAAGACGACGCCGTCCCAGAAGGGGAGGTTGAAGGAGGAGGAGAGGAGGAGGAGGAGGAGGGGGAATGTGGGTTTTGCTTATTTATGAAAGGGGGAGGATGTAAGGACGTTTTTATTGAGTGGGAAAAGTGTGTTGAAGAAGGTGAAGCAAAGAATGAAGACATTGTGGACAAGTGCGCTGAGATTACTGGTAATTTGAAGAGATGTATGGAAGCTCATGCTGATTATTATGGCCCACTTTTGCTGGCTGAGAAGGCTGCTCAAGAGGAGGCCAGAAAGGAATTGGAGAAAGATAAAGAAAAAGAAACTGAGAAGGGGAATGAGGAATCAGCATCAGTGGAAAATTCTGATAAAGATGGAGCCTTGGGGGTTTCCGAGCAGAAGATTGAAGAGAAAGACGGAGTCTCGGGTGATTCGGAGCGGAAGAGTAAGGAGAAAGATGGGGCTTTGAGTGTTCCTGGGCTGAAGAGTGACGAGAAAGATTGGGTTTCGGGTATTTCTCAGCAAAAAAGTGAGGAGAAAGATGGAGTTTTGGGTGGTTCTGAGGAAAAGAAAGATCAGGGTTCTTGACTTTTTCTTTTTTGTCGGAAATTAGAAATTTTTTTGCTGTTTTCAATTCATATGATGAATTTTGCGGAGGATTGGGAGCAATGGAATTATAGAGATTATTATAAGGTAACTATAGGGAAATGCTGAGATTTTTTACCACAATTGATAAATTTGAAATAATTGTACTTTTGACATTAGCTGGAAAGTTCTAAATTGTAGTACTATTATTCCTTTGCAATCGAAAGTTCTTTGCTTTAATGAAATTTCTTACATTATGTTAAGGTCTGATTTTGGATGTGTACATGATAAATTATAAAGTGAGGATGTGGTTGTGACCTGAAACTGAGTGAGATTTGCTTGTTCATAAAAAGTTGGTGTATAACTTATTGCTTTCTCAAATTTAAATGATTTGAATGTAAAATCATCTTGGTGGAACGTTTGAGAGTTCATTGCCAGTAAAGCTGAACAAGATCAATCATTGAATGTTATGCATTCAGAGGGTAATTGCTTTTCTCTGCTTCTGACCCTACCAGTTCAGTGGATTTCGCGGAATCTGTTTGTTCAGATTCTTGTTATGTTAACACTGAATGCAAATTCTTTGTTTTGCGTAGGGAAGTGATGGTGAAATCTGTCTCTACATTCCCCTGCTTCTGTGCATTTGTGGTGTTTGATTGTGGGGTGTGTGTGCTTATAGATGTCAATTAGCACTATGGAGTTTTTGCAAATATGGGACATAGGTTTAGGAGCAAGGATGCAAATTTCAGCAACAGCTATCTTGAATTGGAGACTGAATGATAAAGTTTTAAACCTAGAGCACAAAGTTTCTTAAGACTTCAAGCATTCAACTCCAGAGCAAGAAACTTGACTGACTTGGAGTGCAAGTTGAATTTTTTCTAATTTCTCTTAATGGTTAATAACTATTAGGCCTTGATGCACATTTGGAAGTCTTAATGAATATGACCAATTGAATTCCGGCATAATCTTGCATCCAGAGCACAGAGTTTCTTCAGACTTTATGCATTCACCTCCATAGCAAGAAACTTTACTGACTTGTATTGCAAGTTGAATTTATTCTAATTTCTCTTATTGGTTAATAACTATTAGGCCTTGAAGCACATTTGGAAGTCTTAATGAGTAAGACCTATTGACTTCTGGCATAACCTTGCATCTGCACTTTTACTTTGTTCAGATATCCAAGTTCATGTGGACAATTTCTTGTGTTGCATGTCTGCTGTCTCCTGCCTGAGCTCTGGACCTTTGGTGATAATGTGATATTTTATCTGATCTGCCATTCCTAGGAAACTTTGTTTGCATCTATGAAAATGGGAATGTGAATTTGGCAAAGGGATATCGGAGGGAGTTGCTTTGTGAATGGACGTTGAGTCTAATATTCAACAAACTTTGACTCGTTTCTCTTCCACTCTCTATTTCTCTTCTCTGTCAGTAATACGTACTATGTGTTTGTGAAATAGTTGTTTTTTTAGATTTGTCTTCTTTCTTATGCACTTGTGAAATAGTTGTTTCTTTTAGATTTGTCTTCTTTCTTATGCACTTTTGTAGCTTCAAACTTTAATTGTCCAAGAAATGGAAGGTTCTACTTCTACATGAATCACAAGGCAAGAGCTTAATGAGAATCACATATATACATACATACTCCTGTCACTGTATTGCTGAGCATTTCCTCCAAAACATTGCATCTACTGTCCTTGTTTTGGAGAAAGCTGATTATTCTTTTATGCATGAGAAGATCGTTCGTGATTGCCCCCCCCCCCCCTCCCTCTCTTCCCCTCCCTTCTTTTATGCATTAAGGCCTATATACAACCTGTAGGGGTAAATCTTTTAATGGATGCTGTTTCCCTTTTTGGGGAAAGTTTTTGTTGGTCTTTGGGTGAAAGAGGGGGGGAGGGGGGGTTGCGTTTCTGATGCACAGATGTCATCACATATTTATAAATTCGCTTCGTTTGCAAGTCATTGCCTATTGAAAGTTAAGTCTATTTAAACGAAAAAATTTGTACTCCGGAGAAGCAAAAAAGCTAGAACTGTCTGCAGTGTATCAGAGGGGCGCAGGGATGGAGCGTGTTACAAGAAGAAAGATAACAAAGTGGAAAAATAGTTTCTTCCTCCATAGCAAGTGTATTTTCCTCGTACCAAGTTTTCTTCAAAACTTTTGCTGATGCATTATAGAAGCTACTGACTCAGCATTGCGCAATTCCATCACTGCTTGTCCCACCTTCAAGCGGAGTTGCATGATTCTCCGAAACTGGACACAGATTACGAATTGAACTACAAATTGCAGTTACGAAACCTCTAATACGTGCTATAGGCTTCACTTGGAAAATTAATAAGACTCAATCATAGAGTAAAAGAATTCTTCCAAGTATGAACAAGGCAGATGTTAAGAAAATGGCAAATGGAAGAAGAATGGTTACCATAATAAATAAGAAAAGCAAAGCTACATATTAACTTTGTTGTTTAACTCGAATTAGCAACTTATATTGTAGGCTTCCAGCAAGATTTAACTGTTGTCTCAAGCAAATTTCTGAACTCAAATTTCAACCCTCACCTTCCCCTGGTCCTCAAGTATATTACGAATGGTAAGACGCTCGAATTGTCCCGTGGAAGACAAAAGGCCTTCTTATGTTGTATAGAAGACAAAAAGCTCGAATTGCGTGTTTAGTTCGCTCAACCAAAACAAGGAAAAAGAAAAAGAGGTAATGGGATAAGGGGAATAGAGAGAAGGAAATGATTATCCATTATCAGAAGCTATAAATAATTGCCACGGATTTAAACCTCATCTTTTGCCTCTCTGCTCATTGAACCAAACCAAAGAAAAACAAGCAGAAATAGCAATGTCCAATCTCTTCTCTCTCAATCCGTCGTCCTCCTTTCCGTCTCTCTCCCCTTTAACACCCCCCAAAAAGTTCTCTTTTTGGAAAGCAAAACCCACTTTCCAGTTGAAGAAACCAGCACTTGTAACCTCAGTTCTCTCGACTAAAACTGACCCACAAATTCCCCAATCTGTACAGACATTCTGGCAGTGGCTTTGTGATGAAGGCGTGGTTTCGTCGAAAACTCCAGTGAAGCCAGGTGTTGTCCCAGAAGGCTTAGGCCTTGTTGCCACAAGGGACATTGCTAAAAATGAGGTCGTTTTGGAGGTTCCCAAGAGATTTTGGATCAATCCTGATGCAGCTGCAGCTTCAGAAATTGGTAGCGTTTGTTCTGGTTTGAAGCCTTGGATTGCTGTAGCTCTATTCTTGCTCACAGAAAAGTCTAGAGAGGATTCTAAATGGAAATTTTACTTTGAAATTCTTCCACAGTCTACTGACTCCACTATTTTTTGGTTGGTCCAACTAAATTTACTATATTTGCTTTCTGTTCTTTTAGAAAATTTTTGCTTTTGAAAATTTGCAAGATTGAGTCTTTTTGATCCCTATTGTTTGACATGCTCATCCAGTGCAGGTCAGACGAGGAGCTTGCTGAGCTTCAAGGTAATCCAGTTTGTTTTCCTTATTTCGCTTTTTTACATAGGGGTGACGGGGGTGCACTGCACCTTGCACCAATTAACAAGGGGTGCTACAACTGAACCAATAGGGATTGTGGCATATAATTTCTCTTGTAGGACAAAAATCTTGGTGAAATTTTTTGGATATTTCTATCTTTTCCCCGAATTGCTGTCTCTAATATACTAAAGATTGGATTTTGAGGTTTACAAAATGAAGATCCGTAAAAATAGCAATTGAAAAGTAAAGGAGCTGAAGAAGCTTTTTATTTTGTTGCAGATTTTGCTCTGCATCCAAGATTGAATTGTTTTTTACTTCGTCTTTTAGGGACACAACTACTGAGCACGACATTAGGTGTGAAAGAGTATGTGCAAAATGAGTTTTTGAAAGTGGAAGCAGAAGTAATCCTTCCCAACCAGAAGCTTTTCCCTTCTCCTATAACTTTGGACGAGTTTTTTTGGGCATTTGGGATACTCAGATCAAGGGCATTCTCACGGCTTCGAAATCAGAATCTTGTTGTAATCCCGTTTGCTGACTTGGTAACTCCTGAATCTATTGTTAGATTCATGTTCTGCTGTAATTGCTTTCAAATTTCATGTGCTGGTGGATCCTTTTTCAAAATAGTTGTTAAAATTGGTGAACAGATAAAAATCCTAACCATACCATATACCATTGGAACGTGCTTGAAACCAAATGCTTTTTTTATTTTTTAGTGGTATTTTGTGTTAAAATCTCAAATATTTGCACTTTGCTTAGCTTCATTGGTTAGGAACATACGTTGCATGCACTAAATGTCTCACTGAGGAAACGTGATGGTTTTTCGAAGTCCAGCAAAAATGCACAGTATTTATAAACGAACATGAAATGATACACACACTCGAAGGCTCTGTGTGTTGCTGAAAATTCTAATGCCAAACTTGGGATAAATACAAGGAGAAAACAAAGGATAATATAAACCTTAGATGCAATAATAAACCTAAAGGCTCTTGTTAGCATCTTGAAGCTCCATTATTATTTTCTTTATTGTACAAGGACTTCAAAACAGATATAGAGGATTGAGTAAATGTCAATACATCAGACACAGCAAATTGTGGCCCTTTTATTACTCTTAACAATTTTGAGTTGTTCAGTCCTTTGATGTGGAACATAATTTCAACAGCTTTATAGAGTTCACTTGGACAATTATTTTTTTAAGACAGTTGGTATATGGATCAGATCAACCACAGTGACATTGTAACCACAGAAGATCATGCGCATGAAGTTAGAGGACCAGCAGGTCTTTTCTCTTGGGATTACCTATTTTCTCTGAGGAGCCCATTACACCTTAAGGCTGGTGAACAGGTGAGGTTTATTAGCTGAAAGTATATATACTTTTTCACTTAGTTAAAAATGCTGCCTCAGGGATATCTGTACAAACACACACACACACAAATGGGCACTTAAATTTGTTAAACTTGAATATGTAACTTATCTTGTTATACCATGGATTGTCTTGTAACTCCTAGTATGTCTTTCTCATAAGTATTTCCTTTACCTTCTATTGCTTGTATGTCAGTGTATTGGTCAATGACCATTTACACATGAGACAACAAAAGAGAAGAGAACCATTCTAGGAGCTAACTAGGTATGAGATCTGAGTTTAAGGGTCCTTTCTCTTCTAACTTCAGTTAGTTGAGGTGGGATATAAATGCACTTTGACAATGTACAATATGTGAATAGTTCCAACTGGTTAGAATGCTAAGTGTGAAGTCACCAATTATTTCACCCAATTAGAGTAAGGCCCCATTTGGGGTTGCGGTGGCTTATAAAGAAGGATTTCTGACACAAGTTCTTTTAAGTTACCAAAAGTTGGGCTACTTAAGTTACGGGAAATTAGTTACCAAATACTGTAAAAGTACTTTTAGTGCTTAAAGCGCTTTTTTTGTAAACGCACCACAACCCCAAACGGGGCCTAAGTGAACTATGAAGTTAAAAAACCACACAATGGCATTCTGATTCTGCAGGTCTTCATTCAATATGACTTAAACAAGAGCAATGCTGATATGGCTTTGGACTATGGATTCGTTGAATCAGGGTCAAATCGTGATGCATTTACATTAACATTAGAAATTTCTGAGTCAGATGAATTTTTTGGGGACAAGCTGGATATTGCTGAGACAAATGGTTTAGGTGAAACTGCTTACTTTGATGTTAAATTGGATCGCCCTCTTCCACCAGCTATGCTTCCATATCTCCGGCTTGTAGCACTTGGCGGAACCGATGCTTTTCTTCTGGAATCAATTTTCAGAAATGCTGTTTGGGGTCACCTTGAATTGCCTGTTAGCCATGCAAATGAGGAGCTTATATGTCAAGTGGTTCAAAAAGCTTGCAAATCTGCACTTTCTGGCTACCCCACCACCATTGAGCAGGTGAGCAAGTCCTTTTGCTTTACGACCGAAATGAGTTCATTTTGATAGACTAGCAGAGAAGACTGAGTTGCCCTCATTCATTTAATTCTGTTATAGTTGTTTGCCAAAGTATACCATTTGAAAACAGATCCTCTTAACATCTATATGACCATTGCAATAAATGGAAGCACGGTTAAAGCAGATCCAAGTGGCATGAGATTTTTATGGATGATGCAGAGATGTTGCAACTGCCTGTATACTGCTGTTGCTTACAGGCTCCAGAATTTTGCATAGATTGTATACTCTGTCTTCCTGTGTCCTAAAATCTCAAGCTCATATCCTTCAATTTTATTTCTTTAAGTACTCTATACTCTTTTCTTCCTCTAATAGGACATGATAGTCCCCTCATTCCTAGGATCCATGAAAGTCTTCTTGACTGTAGTCTGTAAGACAGTAGTTGGCTTACAAAGTTAGTTTGTCTATGTGTTTTGACTGTGTCTTGAAAACTGGACCTGCATAATAATATATTTCAACCAGAAGGTTGTTAAAATGCTAATGAGGATGTAAACTGCAGGATGAGAAGCTAATAGAGAAAGGAAATCTTTGCACAAGGCATGAGATGGCTGTTAAGATAAGAGCAGGAGAGAAAAAGGTACTGCAACACATTGACAAAATCTTTGCAGAGAGAGAATCAGAGTTGGATGGCTTGGAATATTACCAAGAAAGGAGGCTCAAGGATCTTGGTCTAGTCGGCGAGCAAGGTGAGATAATCTTTTGGGAGTAGAGGGTAGCAGCCACCCCCAAACTTTTCTTGTTTGTTCATGTATTATGCTGCGAGGGAAGGACACAGACACAAGTTTACGTGGGATTAGCAGAGCATCTCTAAGTGGACACCATTGGCAGTGCATCTAAATCCTTCAGGAGGCAACTACAGCAATCATCATCCTCTGGAAAGCAGTCACCACATATTTCATAATCTGAACTCCCGCCACTGTCTGCAAGTGGTCCGGATTCATGAGCTTCTCTGCACTCGTATCCTAGGATGGTCTTGGAGATTGAGCTTTCTGTTTTCCAAATTTTGAACTTGCTAATCTTACATGCTTCTGTTGGCCTAAATTTAGCAGGAACATTGTTTAAAGATACAGATCTGTACACCTGTTTGCCTCAATCGATGTGGATGTGTTCTAGAATCAGATGCACTTGCCTGCGAACCTGGGAGTGTGGGACACGAGATTGCTATTGGTAGTTATAACTCTAACAAAGCAAAGATAGGTTAAGGCCTGTACTTCCTCACGAACTGATATGAGTTAGCATCTACATAACAACCTGTAAGTCCTCTTCATCCTCGAATAAGTAAAAAGATTCAGAACCCCTTAGCTTAACAATCCAATGGAGAAAAAGGAACTTTGATACATCAAGGCTGGGTTAATCAAAGAGAACGCTTAACGGACCTGTTCTTTATTGCCTCTAACGTTACAGTACATATATAGATTTCAGATTCATATCATTTAACCTCCGTAATTGATTGTTGTGGAAAGGAATTTGTTAACATCAAAATAAGTGGAAGATTAAGTTATCTCAATGCATCAAGAAAGACACTAACTCAAAAACCTCAGAAGCCACTCAAATTTGCTCATATTGGGAATTTTACAGTGGTATTGGAGTAGTTATTGATTACAACCATCTAAGAGGCCTTCACTGCCTCGATTTTACCATCTTATCTGATCAGACAAGTGCCGAAAATGGCACCTGTTGACTAATCAATAGTAACACATGAATAATTAGCTTTCAGCTGGCAGCTCTTATGCTAAAACAATGAAAGATCCCATGAATAACCATCAGAAAAAACCAATTACATATGAACAAAAAGAATGATTAAAATTAAAATCCAAGTGGAACTTCTAAACCTTCCTTTTCATTTCTATGTATTTTCTGCTGCTTCTTACAAAGCTCCCCATGTATGAACACACCGCTCTGATGCCCATGACAAGTCTGACATTTTTCTTGATTTTTGAAAGATTTTCGATGGATGAATGCTAATGATCCCAAGCCTTTGCTAACTGAAACACCATGATTTCTTCACACGGTGTCTAGCAAGGACCCTTGGAATTGAATCACAAATTGAGGCTTGGTTTGGCGGCACATGTTATCGGACTACAGTTGAATTCCGAGGGCCTAATAAGTCATCACAACTTGTTCCCTCGCACAGGCATTCTTGCGGATTTGCATAGAAATAATCTTCTTCTTTCGGTTTATCAACAAGAACTCTACGACGTGCAGGCTGTCCCATTCTGCTCTCATGTGCCAACCGCACAGCAACAGAAAACTCATCCCATGAGATCGTCCCATTCTGATGCAAATCCAATAGTGCTACAAGTCTTTTCCGGTCCAATTGGATGGTTCTTTTGAAACCCAGATACCTGCCAAAAATGTAATCAGGGACTTTCACAGTGCTAAGAGCTCTGATACACCAAAATGGCTTCCAGAACACTTATAATTTGTAAAACATATACCTTCGATGACCTTCCACGACTCTTGCCATGTTTCCATCATAGGTGGGAACAAATGTATTACTGGCCACTGAAACAATGAAATCAAGGGCAGCCATTTGAGATGAATGATTCTGAAACTGTCGCAGATCTTCAGGATCTAACAGCATCTCCTTTTTCACCTGAAATTGAAATAGCAACGGAATTCAAGGAAATAACATTAAGGTATTTTTATAGGACCATTAAGTCATTTTAACATTAAGTCATTTTATATAGTACATGCACCAATCCAAACATTAAGCTATTTTTATAGGACCATTCTACATACGTTATTCAAAGGATCAAGTGGAACCGTCCAGTCACTGATTAAGTATACATTCTGGGATGGAAAATTAAAAGCTGGGCAGTAACAGTGATGAGATTTGTACATCAATTGTTTCCCAACTATTTGGAATTTTTAGTTTGGTTATGTAGATGCACTCCGAATGGACAAACAATCTACTTGCGTAGATTTTACCCATTAGCTACCAGCCCCCAAGATCCAAAAAAAGGTTGGAAAAATTACCACGCTGAGCCCACTTCTTAATTATTACTTGAAGTTTTCTAGTGACACTCCATCATTTAATAAGCTTTCAGGAGAAACAGAATTTAGCACGCCCAATATTCACTGCACAACATGTTAGTGAAAGATGATCTTGTCTGCAATCACTTACAATCCTGGGAAATGCAGTTCTTAGTGCGGCAAGTCTCCTTGCACTGCCATATATTTCACCAGATGCAATATATATCTGTGTGTCTCTGTCAAAACCCAATGCTTTCAAAATCAATGATGTCTCCTCCGGGGTAAGAGGGCATAAGCCCTCAGATCTTTTTACATCAGATATTATCTCTCTCTCTTTCCACCAAGGAAATGCATACCTGAAACCACAGTACAGCCTAGAAATTCCATAAACCTGAAAATCATATTCGACGTATATTTGTGAAAACATGATGATGTAATAGTTCTCTAACAAGGAATTATGGACCAAAAAATTAATACTCCACAAATCTCTGTCTCTTCTAACTTTATCATACTTCACACTTTGTTTGAACATCATATAACCACAAAGTAGTCTTCTAAGAGACCTGGCATAAAAAGACCCCATCTTTGCAAGGGAAGCATGGGACTAATTGCAGTCAACCCACCTCCCTTGGTCCAAAACTCGGATCTGACAAAGTGATGTCAATGGGAAATTTAAAAAAGAAAAGAATTGTGTGAAAAAATGCGATCATAGGTCTACTTGACCATCAATCTATGTTTCCAGGATAGCAATAATAGATAACAGACAAAGTGACAGGGTAAACCAAAAGCCTGGTGTAGTTCTACTCACCCATCAATCTACATCTTCCAGGATAGCAATAATAGAAAACAGACAAGGTGACAGGGTGAACCAAGAGCCTACTTAGGTTCAGAACTTTTGTTTTGGGGGAGGGGACGAGGGGAGGGGAGAGGGGAGGGAGTACACCATGTCTTTTAATCATGCATGAAATAGCGATCGCTTTAGTCATTGCAACCGCCAATTATGTAGAAATCCATGAAATTAATCTGGAATAAGCACCCATGTCACTCGTCTCTCAAGCACAAAGCTTGAGAGATAACCTAGTGGATCTTTTCCTAAGAAATCAGTATTCATGTTTCTGGCCAAAAGACCTGATATAGATACATGTGTCTGCTACTGAGCAACAAGAATCTTATTTCGCCCATTAACTAAACAGAATATCCAGCATTGGATGATTGTGTCTGTATCATGTTAATGTAGTCAATGAGAATAAAATCTGCCATTTTTTTATGCTGAGAAAAATTCCAGCGACATATTTATCCAAATAATGCATCAAATTCAACAAGCAATTACCTCAACCGTTTAAGCTCCTCAGCTTCCTCCTCAGTGCATCCATGGGTACAACCGGAGAAAGCCAACATGTCCATCTCATATCTTAAGTGCAATGCCATGAACGGTCCACTTTCTTGCAGAATGCGCACCAACTTTCGACCCAAAGCCTCAATCTCAGGGGTGAACTTAAGTGCTTGGAAATTGACACGACATCTGAGTCTTTGAAGCTCAACAGGAAGTCCATTGTTTGCGAGTCGAGTGTCTGTTCTGTTGAAGTGTATCACCTTGTACTTGGCAGATAAGGGTAAGATCTGCATGTTCAAATGAAAGCACCAAGTTTGATCATGGGTTCTTCTATAGAAGTATAAGAAGCATATTTAGGTGTCTGTCTACCTTTGTGAAAAGAAATGTCATCCAGATTATGTAAATGATAAAGATATATTTGTAACAATACAAAGTAAACAAACCTGTTCCAAGTAGTACTTATCATTTGACCAGCTAACAGGAGGCATTTGTAGAATTTGGTACCCAAGTTTCCTTCCAAACCTTTTAGGCAATCTCTTAATAATCCGAACTTCATCTCGTAATGAGTCAATGAAGTGTCTTGCGTTAAAAATGTCATCAAAATCACTGCAAGTTATACACCATAGAAATTTCTATAACAGAAAGAAATGGAGGTATAGAGATCCAAATGCTTCTGAATTACTACAAGTTAACCACTTCTGGATAAAATCTGAAGTACCTAGGATCAGCCCAGAATGATTTCTTATCAAGCTCTGGAATAATCAAAGTGAGATTTAAAAGCCGAGCAACTGTTACCATGTCACAGATCTAGCATTCCAAATTGACTAAGTCAGTAACTAGACAATAAGAAGACCACTGCAACAGAAACCATAGGAGTTCCATACATACCGCAGCGCGCATTTGATTCAAGCCGCCATTGCAAGACACTTTAAGAAAACCATTACTTGTATAATTTCCTGCAAAAACACACATTCCTCTCTCAGTATGTGCAAAACTTATTTGCAAAGACTGACAGACATCATTTGCTCATTAATGGTCAAAAGGTAATTACTTTTGTCTATACGCAGCAACATGGACAATAAACATAAAACTGCATGTGCCACTAGTGTATTTATAGGTTTACTACTTAACAGTGGTTTATAATCCCTGTGACAGCAATCCAATATGTTTCATTACATTAACAGTGGCTGGATATGTGACTTTATTATCCCCATGGTACTCATTGAAAGAAACACTTGGTACTTTGTTTTCCTCACGGACACTCAAACTCCACATCATGTTAGACTACCATTACCTATCATATATATCTCCGCTTGAGAAATCAATTACTTACTTGTCTAACAAATGACCAAATATTCAGACCAAATTTGAAAAGTCAAGTCTACTATTTCTTTTACACTTAGTCTTTACCACACCAAAGGTGTAAGAACTTTTTACTACATAAGCACGTTTAGATGAATGTTACATAAATTACATCTGAATGTCAAACAAAATTTTTCTGCACATTGCATCGTAGGAAAGACAAATCCTTTATTTCAAGCTTATCATGCAAAGTAATTACACGTATTACTTTGTATGAACTCAAATTGAGTATGTTCTTGCTCTCAAATATATATATATATATATATATACACACACACACACATATATCATCGATCAAGGTTCCAAAAAATATACCATGTTGGAAGAACCTCAGCATCTTTAAACAATATATCGCCATGAGAGAGGGTGAGAGAGAGAGAGAGAGAGAGAGAGAAGAGAGCAGCTTTTTCAGAGGTAGTTTACATTACAACCAGAAGGTTAAAAGAA